TTAAAAAATTTTTATAAATTAGGGGATTGAAAATAAAATATTTTTATAATATCAATATAAGTAGAGTAAAACGAGGTAAAACAGGGTAACACTTATATTTGTAATTAACTTTTTTCATATAATAAAATGATTTATTCAATAATTTTTTTTTACTTTTTGTTGAGAAAAATGAGCTCTATTCGAATATGTTAAAAAAAAAAAATCATTGAAAGTTTTTTAGTAAAATGAGTTTATTTGAAAAAAAAAAGTGTTCAATTTTACCTTACAAATCAGGTAAAACTGAACCTGTTAAAGTATTGGTAATTTAGTCTAATTAATTATAATTTTAATTTACTGATTTAGATCTGAACAGGAAGTTATTAAAAGTATATTACAGCAAAGATGTGAACAGGAAATTGTTAACTTATAGGAATACTATTAGAGAAGACATTCTTAGGGCTATTTCACATCTATCAATATTCTTATTCAAAATGCTTAAGATCAATTGTAAAAAATTTATTGTGTAGTAAAGGTACAGGTAATAAAACTAATAGTTTTTTACCTTCATGTCTTGGTTGCATAATAGTACTTGAAACTTTAACTTCATTTGCGCTTACAGATTGAAGGGATTCTTTATCTTTCATTGTCATTAGGATAGCTGTAGGTTGGTTTTCTTTTAAAAGCACTATAATTTTAGAGAGTTCCTTATCTCTTACCTTTAAATCATTTTTAAGTAATGACACATTTTATAAGGAAATCTTGCTTAAATAGTAACTTAGTTATTTTAAAATAAGTGTAAAAAAAAATTTACGTGGAAAGTTAGGAAGTGATTTCAATTTTATTTGTTGTGAATTCTTGCTGCAATCTGATTGTTCGCCTAATAGAGAAATTGAACTGAATTTAAAGTTATATAACTATTTAAGATACTTACAGGTAAAAGGACCTCAGAATGCAGTGGGACCTCAGAAGGTCAGGTTTTAAAAAGGCAACATTGAGTGCAATTTTTTTCATTAATCACTGAAAGTGTTGAATAATCTGATTAAAGAATGTAATGTTAAGTTAAAAAGAAAAAACTACGTGTAATTCTTAAAAAACATAATGATATGTTCATTCTAGAAGGAATCAGATAAATAAAAGAAATTGTTAACCTTATCTTTTATTATATTCAAAATGAAACTATTTTGTTGGTCCTATTGAATAAATTTGTTTGACCATTATTGAGTTTGAGCCAGTATTACCTAAAACATTATGACAAAATGATTAATGAAAATAAAATAAAAAATGAATAAATATTTTAAGCAGAAAATATCTAAACAATATTGGCAACAATACTACCAATAATTTAACCTAATATTTTAAGGTCCATGAAAAAAGTGACTATTTATTAAAAGTATTTTGAGCTCAGCAGGATCTCAAAAAACACCTAGCAATCTGAGATCTTTTTAACTGTTTATACAAACATAAAATTTTCCTGATTCATATATTGATAATAACTTATTGACAATCACAACAGTAACAAGTTCAATTAATTAAAGGTTTAATAAATATATTGCAAAATATATATTGAATAGAAACATGATTTAAACTGAACAATTGATTATTAAACTTAGCATTGAGGAAGTAAAAATTATCTATACAAAAATGTAAGGAAAAATACTTTATGTTAACCATAAAAATGTAAAAAAAAAAACTTTATAAAAACTCTTACTGTCATCCTTTTCACTATAATCTTTATAGACAGGAGAACTGTTTCTTGTTCTAATTTTCATTATTTTCTTTCCTAATTCTTCAGAGCTATTATCTATATTTGGCGGCGTTCTTAATCTTTTTTTGTAAGGTGTAGCACCAAGCGGTATTGTAGCTGAAGTTATAGAATTTTCAACATCAGTCAGTGTTACCGCTGACCCATCAGACTTGCCAGATTGGTCTGCTTGAATATTTTCTGCTTTGTTAAAGGTATCTTAGGAAAAATTTAAAAGGTGTGTGATTTCAGACAATAATTTATCTTAAAAGAAACATAACAAATTAAAGTCATATAAACCTGTCTTAGCATAAATTTTTGTAATTTCATACTCTCTCCAGTTTGGATTAAATATACTGTAGTTTTTAGTTTTTTCCAAGGAGGAAGTCCATCGGCATTTCCATATTCCACAAACTTTATACAACCATGGCCGCGGAATAATGGCAATGTGCCCAGTGTGGAGAGCACAAACAACAAAAAATTTTAAAAGAAAAAAGAAATTTCTCTTGAAAGATTTATGAACAAAACTGATTTAATAATTTTTATTATTGATTTATAATAACTTTGTTCATTCAAAATTTATTTTGTTTATAATAATAATGATAATAATAATAAAAATAATAATAATAATAATAATAATAATATATATATATATATATATATATATATATATATATAATATATATATATATATATATATATATATATATATATATATATATATATATATATATATATATATATATATATATATATATATATATATATATATATATATATATATATATATATATATTATATGCGTATGTGAATTCCCTAACAATCCCTGACCTAGTTGAAAAGACACTTTTGCCTCTGACTTTCCGACTGTATAAAACCTGTACTATTTTGATTACAGACTATATAGAGTCTGTGATAGAAATCGTACATGTGTCTAGTATATAGTAAAAATAGTACAGGTCAATAATAATATTTTTGTCATAGACTAGACTATGACAAAAATATTATTATTGATAAATAATATTATTAACATCATTAATAAACAATATTACTTATCAATGATAATGTTAATAATATTATCAAAAAATAGAAAATAAAAATAGTCTATTTTTATTTTCTATTTTATGATAAATATTAAACGAAAATTAACATTTTCTATTTAATAGAAAATGTTATAAGAGAAACTGCAGTAGTGCTACACTCTAAAAAAAAAGGTAGAAATTTCAACCTTAGGGCAGGATATGTGATATACCTTTAGTAAGGTATAATTTTCTACTTTTTAAGGTAGAAAATTATACCTTTAAGGAAGATAATAGTCTGACAAAACATTGTTTATAATATAATTTTCTACCTTGAAAAGTAGAAACTTATACCTTACTAAAGGTATATCACATATCCTACCTTAACCCTTTATTGCATACCGTCCATTTGAATAGACTTTACTAAAAACAATGCTGACTTGAAATAAGTTAGTTTGAAGATTAACTGTAAAATGTATTGCTCCAAGTAGGGGTTGGTCTTTTTAAAAATATTAGATTTTTTTTTGAACTTGCGCGAAAATTCTTTGAAAAAGATGGCAACTTCAAGAGGAGTCAGTGTTAGGTAATTTTTGCATACTGTATATATATTTTTAATTGTTGAGTCATGATATTTGTATAAATACTTTTAAAAGCTTATGAAACCTGAATATAAATATTTAAATAAAAGAAATATAGTTAGTTTTCCCTTCATCATGAACATTTACTAAAGCATTTTATTGTTTTTATATATTGTCCATTTAGATGGACATAATGCGTATCTGGAATTTTTAAATATATATATATATATATATATATATATATATATATATATATATATATATATATATATATATATATATATGTAACAAATTTAGTATAGTGCATGTATACACATTTTATGTAATAATTGATTTTTCAGATCATTTTATGGATATCCAAGGAATGCAGTGTCTTCCACAGTAAAATTTGTTCCTATTCCAAATAATATTAACAAAAGTGATGATGAGTTTGACTTTGAAAGTGACAATGACTTAGAAAATTTTCCACATAGTGAGACTCTAAGTGAATCTGAGTTTGAGGATAGTTCAAGTGATAGTTCAACAGAGAGTAATGAAATGCATATAAGTTGTAATATGCAGTCAACAAAACATGCACCAGTTTCAAAAAAAAGTAAATCTAATGAAGATTCGATTCAATGGAACCTAAGTGATGCTGATTGGACAATACCTTACAATTATTCAGAAAACAATGAAAAATTGTCAATTAACAAGAACACGTCTGATATTTTAAACCGATTCTCTTCATCAATCGATTTCCACAAATTGTTTGTTACTGATGAACTAATGGGTTTTATTATAAACCAAACGCAGCTTTATAATGAATGGAGATATTTAAAGATTGGTACTCGCAGAGTGAAAAATATTGAAAAAGATGAGTTAAAAAAAGTGATTGGAATTATTTTATACATGGGAATTATGAAACTTCCAAACAGAAGAATGTACTGGAGTTCTTCTACACGAAATGAATTAATAGCTTCTGCAATGACAATAAATCGTTTCGATGAAATAATGTCTATTTTGCACTTTAATGACAACAATAAAATGCCTGATAAAGACTCTTCTAATTATAATAAATGTTATAAAGTACAACCTCTAATTGATCATTTTCGTTATATATTTTCAACATTAGTTAACCCAGAGACTGAAATGTCCATAGATGAACAGGTTGTACCTTTCAAAGGTGCACATTCGCTAAAGAGATATTTACCAAAGAAACCAAAAAAATGGGGCTATAAAATTTGGGCAAGAGCAGGGATTTCAGGATATGTATATGATTTTGAAATTGAAGGTGGGATAGGCACCAAAGGACCTCCACCAGGATGTAATCCACCTAAGCAGTGTGGTGAAAGTGCATTTGTTGTTTTACGGTTGTCTAATAGTTTGCTGCCTTTCAAGCATACACTATATTTTGATAACTATTTTGCATCACCTGAATTAATGATTTTCCTAAGAACCAATTATAAGGTATGGGCATTATCAACTCTTAATCCAAACCGTTCTCGGAATTGTCCAATACTATCTGAAAAAGAAATGAGAAAGCTTGGTCGTGGATATATCAAAGAATTTGTTGATACAAACAATAAAATTGTTGTTGCATCCTGGTTTGATAACAAGCGTGTACTTACCTTGTCTAATTATATTGGAAAAAACCCAGTAGGTACATGTAAACGTTATGATGCCAAACAGAAAAAAAAAAATTGAAGTAAAGAGGCCTGCTTGCATTCAGATATATAATAAATTTATGGGTGGTGTAGATAAGGCAGATATGCTTCTTTCTCTTTATCGCACTCGCTATAGATCTAAAAAATGGTATCACAGGTTAGCTTTCCACCTTTTCAGTCAAGCTGCAGTCAATTCTTGGATTGTTTATAGTGAAATAGATGGTAATAAACCTTTGATTGATTTTTTGGCTGACATTTGCATATCAATGATCATGAATGAATCAACCTCAATGAAAAATTATGAAAATGCATTGCCTGGTTCCCGATCTATGAGAGCAGTTGATATACCAAAAGATGTTCGTCTTGATAAACATAACCATTGGCCTGTTCTCCTAGATGTTAAAAACTCTCAACGTTGTAAATATGAATCATGTATCAAAAAGACTAAGTATCAATGTTCAAAGTGCAAAATATATCTTTGTGTTGCAAATAATAAATGTTTTCTAGCATTTCATGGTGTAGAATAACGTTTGGGTGCTTTTATCATAAAAAGTCATTTATTTTGATGTTTCATATCATGTATGTGTATATACATATCATATATGTTTATATTCATATCATATATGTGTAAATCATTATTTCATGTTATAATAGTTATATATGTGTAAATCATATTAATATATACATCAAATGATGTTTGCTTAGTTTGTATTTATTTTTCTATTCCCTCTATTGCATAATGTCCATTTGATTAGACAATTTTTTAGGACACTTTTTTCTATAAAATGATGTAGTTTTTTAGCATAATATATGTTCAAATGATATTTAGCTTCAAATAAAAAAAGTTCTATTAAAAATATGTATTTTATGTCTGTCATGCAATAAAGGGTTAAAGTAGAAATTTCTACCTTTTTTTTTTAGAGTGTAAGTAATGTATAATGACAATATTTTTTCATCAATGATAATATTATAACTTTATTTAGCGCTAAATGTTATACCGGTTTGAAACATAGTCAGTTAATAAAATAAACTAAATGGTTTTATTTGGAGCTTTAACATAACTACATAAAAATAGAAAATATAAATAATATCTTATTTATATTTTCTATTTTTAATAACTCTTTATGATAAAAAGTTTCTTCCTGATAAGAATCATATGACAGGTGTGTTTAAAAAAGATAAACAAAGTTATTTAATTCAATTCTAAAGCTTTAAAAGTTACACTAAAATTCGAATATTTGACATCTTTTTTATGTCTTCCTATATAATATTATTTACACTCGGTTATGATAAAGCTCCAAATAAAATCATTTAGTTTCTTTTATAAACTGTTTCAAACCGGGTTCAATTTGCCCTATTGGGTTTGAAATTATCGGCTATATAAAACAATTGGCTGCAGCCGAATATATATTTTACTTGATGACATTCATGAAATATCATGAATGTTATCAAGTAGAAAGTATCATGAGGATTTAGTCGGCATTGGCTTTAGTTAATAATGAAAACTTGGCTTTAGTTAATAATGAAATTTACAGCCATATATGGCTCATGATACTTTCAACTAAGATAATTCTTTTATTTTTTTTTTATACTATAAAAAAATTAAAAGAATTTTTAGTTGAAAACATTATGAACAGTGCCGCAAATACGGGCCCGCAGGGAGGGGGCAGGAAAAAAGAGGCCCATTTTCAAGCTAATTTTAGGTTGTGTGTGGGATGTGGGTCCCATTTTGAAAATTTGGCGCGGGGGAGGGGAGAATATGAAGTTTCGCTACTGATTATGAATCACCAAGCCCTTCTCTGTACCAAAAAACAACATTAAAAAGCAACCTGTTATTATAATAACTATAAATTATGTTGTTTTTTGCCACAGCACTGACTTTATATTTACATTTTAAAAATTAAAAAACAACAATGAAATAAGTCTAAAATTAATTTCGTACCGTTTTTTTAACTTTTTCGCTCGGGTATCTTTCTGCCATCTTGATATACTTATTTCTAACTCAGACGCTTTTTTATCATTTCTAACTCAGACGTTCTCAAGCAAATTAGTATGAACGGAAGCAATTTGTATTTTATATCACAGCACGATTAGTTTTTGATATCATAATGATATCTCAAAATGAGTCTAAAAGTTGCTACTTGAATATAAATAGAGAAAACCATAACACCTACAGTTCCTTGTAAATATTATATAATAAAATAAGTAAATATTAGATAATAAATGTAAATATTAAGATAATAAAATAAGTTTTATAAATATAAGATAATAATATTAGATAATCCTTGTAAGTATTAGATAATAAAATAAGTTAACTTGGTAAAGTGTCGATATAGCTATGATATCATAATGATATCATAGTTCTTTTTTAAAATATATTTAAATAACTACTTTTAACTCAGACGTTTTTTCATTATTTCTATCTCTTTCTTTAGGTTTTTCCGCAAATTAGTATATACGGAAGCAATTTGTATTTTATATCACAGCATGATAAGTTTTTGACATCGTAATGATATCATTAAATGATTTTAAAATTCAAACATGCTACTTGAACATAGTAAGAGAAAACCATAACGCCTACGGTTCCTTAAAGCTGTTATATAAAATAAGATAATAAAATAAGTTAACTTGGTAATATTATGATATCGCTTTGATATCATAATGATGCCATTATTTGATATCATAACTTGAGAAAGTTTTGATACCATTCTGATCTTGCTTGTAGACTGGGAGAGACAAACTTAATGTTTATGGTGCTTTATAACTAATATATAAAATTCCAATATAAATTAAGTCAGCTAACTAAAGTTGTGATATCACTATGTTATTATAATGATATCATTATTTGATATCATAACTTGAGAAAATTTTGATAACATTCTGATATCTAAAAGATCTCACTTCTGGACTGGGAGAGAAAACCTTAATGTAAAAAACTAATATAAAAAACTCCAATATAAATTAAGCTAATCCTACTAAAGTTGTGATATCATTATGTTATCATAATGATATCATTATTTGATATCATAACTTGAGAAAGTTTTGCTAACATTCTGATATCCAATTGATCTCCTTTCTAGACTGGGAGAGAAAACCTGTTTTTTTACGTTGCTTTATAACTAAAATACAAAACGCCAATATAAAATAAGTTAATCAACAAAAGTTGCGATATCATTATGTTATCATAATGATATCATTATTTAATATCATAACTTGAGAAAGTTTTGATATCATTCTGATATCAAATTGATGTCGCTTCGTGACTGGGTTTTAAAAAGTTATCTTAAGATAAGTTAACTTTAATAAAGTAGGTGAAAATTAGTATGAGTCATTTGATTAAAATTTAATGTAAATTTTAATAAAAATTTATAAAGAATCTATTTTATAATGAACATAATTTACAAAAACAAGAAGTTACCATGTCTCCTGTTTTTTTTAATCTGTAGTGTTTTCAATGACCTGAAAACAACAAAAGGTATTTTTATTTTAAAAGTGGAAGACATAAAGTAAGATAAAGTAAAATAGCAAAATATATGTACAAAATAAAATAAAAGTCAAAATAGTTGTTATTTTTGCAGTTACAAAAATTTTTATTAAATTTATTAAAATTTCCATTTCCGTTGAGGAAGTGTTTAAAAGTTGTAGGCATGTTGATTTTTTAAATCATAAGTTTTTTTTATTTTTTACGCTTATTTCTAAGTAGCTGCAAAATTTTAAATATTGAAAAGTGCACTGTTATACACTTTTTTTAGCACTTTATATAGAAACCTGTTACGAATCTTCTATGGCGGCTCGTCGGGTACGTGTGTCACAGTTATGAGCAATTTGTATTTTTGACTTTAAAAATATGTTACGTTTTTGAATAAAAAAATTGAAAAAAAAAATCAGAATAAAAAACGAAATTTGTTATACTAAAACAATTATAAAATTTTTTCTTATTAAAAAGGTTACCTTATGATAAGTTAACATTAATAAATTAGTATCAGACATGTGATTAAAAGTTTAATGTAAAATTTAATAAAAATTTATAACGAATCTATTTTAAAATAATCCTAAGTTACAAAAACAAGATGTTACCATATTTCCTATTTCTTTTTAATTCTGTCATGTTTTCAATGACCAACGAAAACAACGAATGGTATCTTTTCAATTTAAATTTTACTTGCACGGGTTACAGGCTGAGAGTTTACTTTGTACTCAACGAATATTAGTGTTAATTTACTAAGTTATTAAAATGTGTAAAAAAGAGACATCTTCAATGCAACCGACAATAATACTTAAAAATATTTAGATTATTGACAACTATCTTTTTTTTTCAATCTCTGAATGATAATGGAACTTTTTATCACTAAATAATCGAAATGAAAAATTAACAAGTTTAGACAAAATTAGACAAATTTTATTTTAAGTTACAAAATCTATAAATGAGTATATATATATATATATATATATATATATATATATATATATATATATATATATATATATATATATATATATATTTATATATGTGACCTTGCGGATGAAAATGCACCAGATAGGTGTTACCACAGAAACAAGGTAATCAAACTAAACAAAACCTACCAAGATCTTTAAAATACCTTAACCTTATCCAAAACTATAAATTATTGCATTCTAAAGTGTAAATTCGGCAACTGTCGGGAATCAATTTAAAGTTTTAATAAAAATGTTATTTGTAACATTTTTGAAAAATGTTAAAAATTACACAGATTTGAATTAGTTACAAAAAAACTAAAAATAAATTTTATCTATCAAATTTAAACGAAAAACTTAAAAACCCTAGGTCACTGTGTGTAAACGTGATTTTTGTAGGAACTAGATAGCGCTATTCTATCGTTTTTCTAATACGATGTCGCATAGATGCTATTTATATACTAATCTTTAAATATCGTTATATTATAAAAATCCTTAAATTTTGATTGAACGAAAAAAGATTGTTTTTCTTAGTCCGGAAAACAATTTTTTCTCGTTGCCGTATTTAACAAAGTTTATGCCTTTGTATGGATAAACATATATATA